GTGGTGCTACTAAACTCCCCTTGGTGATATACTGGGTTGGATGAATCCCTTTGATAGCAATTCTTCTATCCGTGCCTTTAATTTTTGTAGCTCTTTCGGTGACGTTCTGCAAGGGACCTTATAAATAGGTGTGGCCTCGGGGGTGAGATCGATCGTGAACTCCACTTCTTGTTCTGGTGGCATGCCGAGTAAATCATTAGGGAAACCTTCTAGGCATTCTCGTACCACTCTAATTTCACGGGTTGTAAACTTCTTATCTCCTTTTTTGTCTATTTTTGACATTAGGAAACCCACATTACTTACCGATTGTAAGATCCATAGTGCTTGTAATGAAGACACAACTGGGATACGGATCTATTCTTAGTCTCTAATAATCGAAATTCTTCTTCTCCTGATTTTTGGAAGACCACTTCATTCTCGAAATAATGAATTATTGCAAGATTCTTGAATAATCAGTCCATCCCAAGAATTACGTCAAAATCACGCATATCTAATACATAAAGTTTTATCTCCAAAGACCTACCATCGATTTCTATCTTGCCACCTTAACTATATTATCTGTGTTCAGCACCTTTCTAGAGGGTATAGACATTTCTAAAGGTAAACGTGCATGTATAATATTCACATCTAGTTTTTGTATGAATTTAAAGAATATAAATGAGTGAGTGTCATCAGATTCGATTAATTTATAGGCATGTAAGTTGGATATTAAAACCTTATTTGTCAAAATATTACGATCCTGATCCTTTTCCCGTTCAGTCAGTGCAAAGATTCTTGTTTATCCCTTGGGTGCATATTCCTGCCTCTGTTGTGCTCTTCTCAGTTTACGATGGATCTTAAGGAAAAACCTAGTTATGTGCCCTTGTTCCCCACACTAAAACATGTGTTTTTCCCTACGAGACAAACTCCCAGATGGTGTTTCTTGCATTTGCTGCAAAGCTGGTAGCTCTTACTGTCACTTCAAGTTGGGTATCCTTTGCCTTTCTTACTATAATTCTGTTGTCTTTTGCTCATGTTATATTCCCATTTGCACCTTTCAGTAGCGACCTCTAAAATATGCCAGTTCTGCCTTTGTTAACACTTGATGGTAGGTTCTTAGTTCAAGCACTATAACTTCCTGCCTCAGATCATCCTTTAAACCCTATTCAAAATGCCTTGCATTTTTTTTCCTCCATATTCACAAAGCTAGAGGCATAATGGGATAATTTTTCAAACTTTTGCTCGTATTCAGTAAGAGACATCGAGCCATGAGTTTATGTAATAAACTCAGCCTTTTTCTGATTTCAGACACTTGCAAGGAATTACTTCTTCAGAAAGTTCTCATAGAATTGGTTCTATGTCTAGATATGTCCGTAGGCACTTGACCTTAAAGTTGAGTCCCACCAACGCATAGCCCCTTTTTCAGCATAAAGGTTGCAACATGTAACTTTTCTGGAGTCTGGGCAGTCAGTGAGATCGAAGGTCCTTTCTATCTTTGCCAACCAATCTTCTACTTTCGCGTGATCTAAACTACCCTCAAAGTTTGGGGTGTTGTTTCCTGAATAGTTCCATGACAACAACATCTGTGTTCTTTGTGTCTTTTGTCGCTATCGGAGTTTGTCGCGATGGTAGCGACGATGTTAGTGGTGTCAGTTGTCGTAGTGTTTTCGCCTAAGCAAATGTGCGCATCATGGCCAAAATTACTGAGCAAACTATGGGTCAACCCCACTAGGTTGGGTTTGTTCTTACTGTTGAGGTTGTTCAAAAACGAATTTTTTTTAAGCCTCTATAAATAGAATTTTTTGAGTGGATTTGAGGTATTGCTTTTCGTCTTGTTGAATAAAATAATGCACAACTAAAAGGCTTCCAAAGGAGGAGTGGGGTCACAAGTGGACCATTTAAATCTCAAACTCTCTTTAGACAGTTTATGTTATTTTGACAAAGTCTTTCAATATTACAAATACTCAATTGAAGAAAACTTAAAAAAAAAAAAACTTGGAAACTGGAGGTACCTAAAATATTATTATTATTATTATTATTATTATTATTATTATTATTATTATTATTATTATTATTATTATTATTATTATTATTATTATTATTTCGTTAATTCCTAATTGACACGTCCTAATTTAAAGGTTTTCTAAATTCTTTTACTACAATTCTCAAGAATTGAATCCAAGTAATAACATAATATATATCACATACTTATTTATATCATTTTACGTAATATAATTCAATAAGAACATGACATGTCTTTTTAATATTTTATGCTGAGAACCTGTAAATAATTAACTCGCAATACTTTTAATTTTCATAGCAAGTCGTACTTATTCATGCATTCATAAATTGCATTATTTACATAACCAACATAATAATATGTGCATATAAACTAAAGATATTATATATAATGATGAAACTTATGAGATACGTGAATTGAGGGGATGACGACTTGGAGTATGACTTTGCGTGCAAGAAATCGTTTAATTTCTATCAGAACTTTTTAAAACTAATAACTTATTTTGAATTAATAATTGAAAGAATAGTATTTGAATTATAATTTTTTTGAAAACCAAATAGATTTTTTTTTTTTTTGTGAAAAGTAATTTTATTTTATTTTATTTTTTAAAGTCGAGTCTCCAAAAAAGTAGACCCGTTCTGATACCAACTGTGACAACCTGAAAATTCGGGTCCCATTAAATCATAAACTATAATTATTTAAAGAGTATTCAACACAATTATACAAATTATTAAATCATTTATCAAAAATCAAATAATGTAATGAGTTTAATAAACTAATTTGAAATGAGAAATATCTTAAAATATTTAAAATCAACTGAAATATTAATAGTTTGACAACGTAATAATTTTATTATTGAAATTTTTGCCACCATAAATCATCTTCGCGCCGATTGCCTCAAATTATCAATTATCTAAAAGTTAAGATATAATAGGGTGGGAATAATTCTCAATAAGTATACGTGGATAATGAACTCATATGTATATTTCTATGAAAAATTCATAACTTGTATAGGGAGACACGAAAATTAGATCGAACTTATACGGTGCTAAATTCTTATCTATAATGCTACTAAATTCTAATTCATTTTGAATAAAACTTATGTAATATGGACCAAAACAAAAGACTATATGTTGGAAAAAACATTATTGAGTCGCTCGTGGGGTTCATTATTCACATGTGATTGTGTAAATATAAGATTATATTTAATATAGAAAGGATAAGAGAAAAAGTATAAAGACAGTAATAGAGGTAGAGTGTGTGAGATTGTGTAAATAGTTGGTAAGGAGTAGTCTAATGTTGGGTTTGTCTCCTATTTACAGCGTAGATTCTTGACCATGTATAGAAAAGTGAAAGGAAATGGCAAGATATTAAACATTGCCAATACATAAATAGTATATTGTCATGAAAATAGTTAAATCAATACTTTTAATTATGTGGTCAAATCAATGTACTTGGCTTAAAATTTGGTGTAAATAATGTATGTGGTCGAATCAATTTCCTTTATTTACGTAGTCAAATCAATTACATTGGCTTGAAACTTGATGTGAATAATACATATAGTCAATAAATCATCTTTAATCAAGATCAATTGACATATTTACATATGTTTTACGCATGATTTTATCCGACTTCCAAAATAACTCTCCACGTAGGTCCTCAAATTATTGGTCAATAATCAATAAGGTCATTGGACTTTAATAATAGCGTACTTAAGTTCAAAATTTAAATCTAACAATTAGTAGTAAAAATTTGGAAAGTTACAAATCATCCAACATATCAAATATGCCCTCATTGTGGCAAACTGTGGTTGACTTGTTTAGATGAGAGCTGCTTTATGGAGGGCCGCTTTATTCTGTTGAGATACATTGAAAAGGAAAAGAAAAAGAAAAAGAGAACTGCCACTCATGAAAGAGCTAACAGGGTAACTTTGTACATGAATGATTTTCTCAAACAAGATTGTAGACTTAAAATCATAGGATCGCTAAATAAATAGTCTCATCATTCTTATGGGGAGGCGACACTAATATTGTTCAGAGACACAGAAATTGGTGTTTTAACAGGTTTACATGACTTGGATCCACAAATGAAATCAGCAGTCAGCATTATAGTTTAATCTTACTATGTATAACATTTTTTTCACAATTAAGTTACTGAAATATATAGCATCTATTTAAATAAACACAATTACATGTAAGGAGATTATGTGCCTAAAAGTTCTTGCCATTCACAGACCACCACCATGTTTACTTGTACAAGTTTATACATTTACTCTTAAAACTACCAGAACCTATCTACCACTCTAATTATTATTATTATTATAAACACAGTAAAAGGACTCTTGGTGTACTTCAATTAGTATTCATTAGCCTGGCAATTGCATGAAATTCGTGATTTCAAAGGTCTCAAGCCATCACATAGGTAGGTGAATCAAAGAAATAGCCTAAAGAAATGTAAATAGGTTCTTGTGTAGCCCATGTGTTGTTTGCTCGGGCTGCGAACTTCTATGGGCTTCAAATGTCATAATTCAGAGAACATTGACTTGAATAGCACTAAATGGAGCCAAGGAAAATGATATTTTACAATTCTTTTCCATAGAATTTCATTTTCTAATGTCATTTCCAAACTACAATGTTAGGTTATTTTGTCCTCTCCATTCCAAAATTTTACTCATTTTTCCGGCTTGTTCCTTTTCTTCGTGTTCTTCTTCTTTTTCAGTTTAACACAAGAAATCTTAATACCATAACAGAGTGAGAGACATTTAGTGTTTAGATTATGATTGCATTACATTTGGGTTTTGTTTAATCTCAACAACAGTTGTGCAAGGGGTTGATGTATAAATTCAGAGATGGTTTCCCAACTTATCGATGCTATTTATTTCATGTCACGTTAGTTCAAGATTTAACCCAGCAGCAGCACTTTTGACTGTTACCACTTTAAAACACTTCACAAATGTACACAAAATGAAATGCAATGTGATCATAATAATTATTTTATGAATCAAAAGATATTTAATCATTATAAACCATTCTTGATTACAGATATTTTGGAATCATCCAATATGTCCCTCAAGTAGCTCCTAAAAACAATTTTCGTGATTATATTCAGATGAATTCACCAACTCAGTTGGCAGCAAAAAAATAGATGCTCAGTGTGTACCTTCAATACCCTATTAGAAATATGATAAGGAAAGAAAACCAATTCAACACTGGTTGTCCGTGTATGAATTAAGCCGCATGCTATCATGCCATGCAAGTGAATTCTACCTCCCGTTCTCAGGATGGACTTGAATGAGCCATTTTTTGTTTCATCATTTGTGGTATTAAGTGTTTGGGGGGAAATTTGTCTGCCATTGCATTGAAGGATTCCATCTTCCCTGTTCTGGCATTTGAGGAGGCCCCATTGTCTGTGTGGAGCCTCGGGATCCAGGAAATAGCCTCTGAGGTGGAAATGGACTCGATTTTCTATTGAAAATGTTCTCAACCTCCATTCGTCGTCCTTGTTTCTCAAAAACATCCAACACAAATTCCTCGAGTGAGACAGTAGTATCAACACCACAGTTCATCATCTGACTGAGCAAATTAACAGTGGCATCATAATTGCCTCCCTCAATTAGGCCCCTAATTACAACATTGTAGGTTGTAAAATCAGGTCTCGGTTCTTTATTACCCATTTTCGACAAAATCGGTAAACAGTCAAGAACTCGACCCTTCTCAATCAAGAAACCAAACAACTCATTCGCATATGCTGGAATAACCCTAAACCCGGACTCAACCATCTTTGAATACTTATCCAACATTTCCTCAATTCTATCCACTCTCATATAAGCATCAATCATTATTTTGTAAGTATTCACACTTAGAGACATTGATTTCGCACTCAGCTGCCTATAATACTCCTCCGCCTCATCGATCATGTCAAGCTCGCACAACCTTGCCATCATATTGTTATACCCTGCCACATCCATCAAAAAAGGCTTCGACTTTACCGCCTTCCCGACCCTCTTGAATACCTCCATTGCCATTGCAACATTTCCATCCTTGAAGCACTCATTAACCATCATATTGAATGTGTCTGAATTTACTGCCAGAAATGACGGCGGGGTGTGATCGTCCAACATGTCATCGAACAAATTCAAAGCCTCTTTCTTCCTTCCATGCCTCAACAATGTCTCTAAAAGCACGTTTCGCTGTGCAGGCACCATCCTGTAATTCCTATCCATCAAATCCCTATACGACTCCATCGCCTCCTTTGGCTTCCCCTGTTTGAAGAACCAATCCATGAAGGTTGCATTTACAACCCCGTCATAAACAGAGCACCGCTCCTTCAACTCATCAAACAACTCATTTGCTTTCTCTAAATTTCCCAGGTTCAAATACCCAAGAATCAAATTATTATAAACCAAAGAATCAGCTGCGTGACCCTTATGCAACATTTCACGGAGCAAACCCACTGCATCATTTACTCGTCCAGCATCAATCAGCCCCTTGGTGAGATGCCGATAAGTGACGGCTGATGGTGCATAAGGGGCGTTCTCAAGAATGTGATTATAAACTTTTAATGCCTCCTCAATATCATTGGACTCGCAATGGCATCCAATGATGTTGTTGTAGGAAACAATATTTGGAATAACATCGAACTGATTAAAAAAGTATTGGAAGAGGGCTTTGGCATAGTCATAGCGCTTGGCGCGATACATGGCAGCAATGATCGCGTTGCAGGTGAAGACCGTGGGACGGGGCGATTGGAACACAGACTGGCGGGCTATGTACGAGGCCGAATCAAGGTCGTCGGCGCGGATGAGGGACTGGACACGGTTGTGGAGGTTGAGGCGAGAACCAACAAGGGAAGAGGTAGAGTCGGGGAGACGAGGCTTATTGGGGTCGTTGGGTTTTGGTGGGGCGGGATTGGAGCGCAAGGCATAGAGTGGGGGCTCAATGCGTACGCGGCGCTTGCGGCGACGACGCTCAGCAGCTGCCTCCTCGGCGGAGGAGAAGCCGTAGGAGCGTACAGGTGTAGACGATGAGGAAGTAGTTCGAAACTGATTATTTAAGATATTTGAGGTAGTAGTATTAGTGGTGGAAATGGGGGATTGACAGGGGTTGATGTCGGCGGCGACAGCGGAGGAGGATTGGAAGGGGGATTGAGTATCTATGCGGTGGTTTAGCGTCTGAGTGGAGGTGTTGAAAACGGGGGTTTGGAAGGAGGTGGTGGAATAGCGGCGGACGGAACGGAGGAGGAAGCGATAGATAGTCATGGAGAAGGCTGTCAGCGGAAAGAATGTATAGAGGCAAAACCCTAGTCAGGACTTCGGAAAATGAGGAAGAAGAGAAACCTTAAACCCTTTTGGATTATTCAGATAAAAAAACGCCATTTTGTTTTCAAGGTCGGTCCAATTCAAGTAGTCTAATTTGAAACTGAATTGGGCATTTGGATGATATTGATGAAGAAGCTATCGAATAGAAACTTGAAATTTTCGATACAAGAGAGAAGTGGAAGGGTAAAAAATTTGAAAGTGTTAGAAATACTTTAAATTGGTTTCAACGAATCGGACAGTTGACGGACTTCAAGAATATAAAATAGCGTGTACATATTGCCAAACACCTGGATTTTGTATGGTAAAATGAAACCTAAACACAACTGAAATTTGATATTCCTTCTTCTAATATCAATTCTACGACACTTAACATATGGATCTATTCAGACAAAATTGCCGCGAAGGAATGGTGAAGTTCATTGTCAAAGTTAAGTGACCGTTAAGCATAGTGGACAATCAACATTTTACAAAGTTCGTGCAATACTATTTCCAACCAAGGTACGTTGGAGTAAATAGAAATACTTTTCGTTCCAATTGTATAGGTTATTTCATTAAGCATGATTTACAAAAATATGATAGTGTTATATTGTTTACGTCTGGTATATGGGAAGGCATTAATAAAAAAAGTAATATAGCTACAATTGCATGCTAGATAGACCCTTTTTGGATAATGCTTAAAAGAATAATTAATTTTAAAATAATTGAGTTTTCTCACAATGCTAATAATATATTTAATGCTATTATGAAAATTAAAAAAGAATTTCGTTGTGAATTTAAAATTCGCAATTTTAAGTTTGATAATGTTAGTGTTAATAAACTTGTTATTGAAATACTATACAGGGTCCTTAATCCTGATTTCAATGGTTTTCTATTTCATGTCTATTGTGTGTATCACATCTTTAATTTAATTGTGTAAGACAGTTTGACACAGTAAAGATCAAATGGATAAAATTAGGGATGTATCAGTATATATCACCATATTATCAAGTAGAAAATAAGCATTTGAAGATTTTTGTACTCAATATGGTATGGATTCCAAATAATTTGGGACAAACTTAAGGTATAGGTGGAACTTCACTAATTACTTAAATAATGTGAAGGATATAAAGCATAATAATTAAATATTATAATTTTAGACATGCAGAAAATGATGATGGCAAGTCTTATTTTGATTGATATTTAATGGGAATTGACTTTTAGAGTAAAATGGTTTTTGGCAAGTTTCATGATTCTACAAATATCTCATATGAGGTATACTACCCCGCTAGTTCTGGATTTGTTGAACTTTTTTTTGTTATTGCAAGAACTTTTAATAAATACATACATAATCCTAATTTTACTGGAATATTATTTTCTATGGAACTAAAGTTTGGAAATAACTGGGAAGGCTTGTCAATTTTTTTTTCTTTAGCATACGTAATGAACCTTAGGTACAATTTGAAAGGTACTAAACATGTTATTAGAAAAATCACATATACTTAAAATTTTCATGCTCCCATCACTTATTCTAATTTAGAAAATACGTTAACTTTAATGTACGAATTGTATGCACAACGATTGGGTGTTAATGTTAGCGAGTCACCCTTCCTACGCTAATCTTCAAGAAGATGATGAGAAAATATTAAATTTATTTATAGATATTAGAGAAAAAAGATTTGATGCAGTTTCTTCAAGTATGTCTCTTGCATATAATTAGACATTGGACGCAGGTCCAGCTCCAACTAGAATGCTTGCTGAATTACATAGATATTTTAATCATAAAATGCTTATGTCCATAAAACCCGTCAATGCAATGATGTTTTATTTACTTGATTTTTGGCAATGTCACGAACACAGATAGCCTATTGTTTCTATGATTGCTCGTATTCTATTAACACTTTATGTTAGCACTACAGTATCAGAGTCCCGCTTTTAGTGCAGTTGGTCGAGTTTTGCCTGATTTTAGGAACTGCCATGCCTAAATCCATTATATCTTATTCCCATCCACTTGCAGATCTATTTCTCTCCCTAGCAAAAATCTCTTCCCGTCGCAACTCACCATTGCTTGATGTTACTCGCCATTGTCGTTACTCCAAGTGTTTAAGAACTGATTTTTTTTTGTTGACTCGGGTATTCGAATTTCGCCCTACTAATCTTGAGAAGTGGCAGCTTTCCCCCTTGGTTCGTCATTCGAGTAAATTTGGATGTAGTCGCAATTCATACATGCTTCGACAGGACATTCGGGATGCAATTCTTCTCTCTGTACACTTCCCTTTACGATTGCAAACAGATTCGTTGGAGGGACGACAAAATGCACTATGACTTTGTCTCCGTAGGACATCTGCCTTCTAACATAAATATTGCCTTCCAACTGTCATGGGGTTCGAATCTTTGATGCTTCGTGGATAACCTTCTCGCTTTACCATTGCGCCATGCCGATGGGGACCAAAAAAAACTCGCTCGCTGATTTCTTCTCTTTCATAGTGGTTGTTGAAGGAGAAGGCAAGCCTTGCTGCTCTTCACCATCTACTCTTTGTACTTTCCTCGATCTCATTATGGTGGCGGTGTTCTGATGTGGTTGGTCCCAACGATAGAGGAGAATTTTTGGATATTTAGGTCCATTGGCGCGATTCTCCTTGCTGATTTTGGGACGTATTGCCTACACGAGAGGGCTGAGGCTTCAATAAAAGGTGAGTGGATGTTGGGGAGATGTTTCTGTTATGGTGTTGCGTGGGTCTAATGGCTTTTGTGGCAGGGTGCATAGTTGGCGGCGACCCCAGTGGAGTTTAATCCCTTTTTTTGAATTTTTGAATTGGTAGAGGCTTTTTGGGATGGGATGTCATAGGTTGTGGTGGTGGGTTGTTGATTTAAGGTGGCGCTGAAGATTTGAATGGTAAGATGGCATAGGTAGGTGAAGAGTGATTGCGACCAATAAATTGGGTAATTATGAACAGTTAACTTGATATTTTGTGATCAATAAATAATTTGTCATTGTAAGTGTAACTTACAACTAAATTTGTAATTATACTCCACAATTTGGGTGCTTATGATTTTACCTTGTGATTGATAATTAGTACGTAATTATGATCATAAATTGTGTTATTATAACATTGACCTTAATAGGTGACAAAATTTTATAAGGTGATCACCACCTAATTTTTAAAACTTTTCTACAGGCTTCTTATTTTTGAAAATGTATTTTGAAATATTTTTATCGAGGTCTAGCTAATGAAATAAGAGTCGAACTTAACACCTTTACTTATTAGCAATTTTAACAAACAAATATTATTTATTTTAAAACTTAATTATTTACTTATGACTAAAAAAATTTAAGCTTAGGAATGCTTGATTGCAGCTGCCTACCAACCATTTCAGCTGGCCAGGCTTATAAGCTGTAATGAAGATTCATTAATAAATAAATAAATAAACAAAAATTGAAAAAAGCCCGGGCAGGTTTCAGCTCATAGAGATGAATGGCCTAAACTCAGATTAAACTTTATGAGAATGAATGACAACCAAATTTCTGAAAATGGAAAGTTATTTCTGAAAATTTCAAAAAACAAAAAATAAATCAATAATTACAAAGCCAAAAAGAAAAAAATAATGTAACCGTCACCTCCTGTATTCAGCTACACATTTGTACCATCATTTATACAAAGGAATGCTGTTTGGCTTTTCAGTATTTTCACGATCTGAGAAAAGAATATATAACTTGCTGTGTCTTCGCGAATTTGTTCCTGCAAAAGTATGCAAGTCGAGCACCTTAGTTGACGAGGTCTTGGATGGCCAACTTCGCTAGTGAATTTTCTGATACGATGATTGAGGATAGAGATCGACCCAACAAGTATCCTCCTTAACAGCCTTATTCCACCTATTCCTAAAAATCTTCATCTCAATATAGGATTGTCTTCGTACCTACGTACAAAAATATTATCTAAGAAGTGTAGGAGTGAACTATCGAAGGCAAAAAAATGATTACGCCCAGTGTTAGGAACTATGGTTTAATTCCAATCACGACAGCAATAATGAGCAAAACGAAATCAGAAATGCTCAAAAGATGTAGGATAGAAGTGATAACTCTAGACGGAGAAAGAAAAACATAAATCTATTGTGAACTCCACAAAATCACACTTAGCCCCAGTTTGGCCCCTATTCCATCAAACTCATTTTTAACGACATATTTCGTGGGACCCACATCTTTTATCAACTTTTCAACCATATATTCATCGAACTTTTATCAAAATCTACTAAAAACATGATTTTTTAACTAAACCAAAGTGGGGCTTAATACATTAATGTGAGAAGCATGCATGTGTTCCTATGCATTGCAGCCTACAAAACGCATTGAATAGCGACAGACGAGAGATTTTGCTCAACCAATTTATCTCATTTTTTCTACAGAGCAAGTTAGCAGAACACTTACCGCAGATCTATTGTCATATTTGTAAACAAATGAAGTTACCTGAAATTCATAACAAAAAATTCTTAATCAGAGATTGATGTTGGTAGGAGGAGGCAATAACAGGTGAATTTCAGCTAGAAACCGTACCACTGCTTCTGAATCTGACAAGTTCTTCGATAGAGAAAATTGATCTGATTTTACATCAGTCAACTACACAGATCAAACAAACAAAACAAAAATGAGAAGTCCATACAATAAGATGATTAAAGTGGAAAGATTCGACAATTATTCTGCTTGTATCTAGATTTTATATACTGAAAATCAAGCATAATATAAAGTAAATGTCATAGTAGTTCTTCATGATTAAACATTCCTCGCAAAGCTAAAAAAAATCATAAAACTACTTGCGCTGCAAAAAGGATCTCTTGGAGCATGTTTAGCAGAGCAAAAATTGAGTAAAAGTTACTCTTGCCTTAACTTTTAGTTTCTAACCATGTTTAGATAACTCATTTTATTCTTACTTTTAAGTAAAAAAAAAGTTCGTTTATAATTCTCACCTTATTGTCAAAATAAATCACTTTCTGAATTTCGACTTGGCATAGAAAGATTATTTTTTTCAAAACTTATGCATGGCATAAGTAGACTTTTAGAAGGTGTTTGAGCCCCATTTTTATGAAAAAATGAATTTTAAAATAGTAAATTGATGGAGAATGTGTGGATGAAAAATAAGGAAAAGTTTTTTATTTACGTGTAATATTATTTTAATGAAGAATGTGTCGTTAAAAAGAAGAGAGAAAAATGTATTTTAATAAAATGAGAATCAAACGGACCTTTAAACTTAATGAACTATGCTCTCAAATACAAGATCAACAAGAAAACATTACAAGACTAGAGGCATTTTATGGAATCAATCAGTGCTCAACTATCCATTATATCCTATTGAACAGATGTACTATTTGTAGGTCTGATAATTAGAGACGGGGGCAGAAAATGGATGCATCATTTACTTGCCTTGTGTTCATCTGAAAGACCACCAAGGGTTGGAAGACCCAGATGAACTATATACTCCGCATCAACCACACCAACTTTGAGCATCCGATCGCCCTGTGATAAAAATATTATTTAATCAATGTATTCAAGGAAGAAGCTCAGACAAAGCAGAATTGAATTCTAGTTGGTTACTTGCCTGTGCACAATAACCAAGCTGCATATCCAGACCCCATGCATGGATCAAGTCGTTCTGTATACAATTATGCTTATTAATTTCCAGAAAAGATCAAGATATATAACAAAAGAGCATATCAAGAAAATAGAAGCTAGCTGTAACATAAGTACCATACTGAAATCACCAAATACAATTATTAAGTACAATAAGCTGAATCATTATCGAGTACAAGATTTTAATGGATAATGGAGATTATAAAACAAATTGATACAATTAATTGGTCGACCGCTAGTCAAACTTAAGGACCATCAATTGGATATTTCATAAAAGCATGAACATAAACTTGCAATATTAAAGTGGATCAAATGGAATGTTCTGAAAATATTGAGCGTGCTTTTAAGTTAATATTTTTGCAGTTTTCCATTAAATTTTGCACATTGAAAAAAAAATATAGTAGGACTTCAGTGTGAAAATTTGAAAAGTTCAGCAACTGTTTCAGTTTAACGGAAGCTTACTTCAATACTTAACATCCTGAAAAAAGACACATTCAGCATATTTTGATCTATCACATTTATTCCGTAGAAATAATAGATAGAACAAAGATTATATACCTGGACCATATACCAAGCACAACGCCAGGCTGCTCTTGAGAACACAGGAGCCATCATTTCAACCCAACTACACCACACAACTTTTGTGTAAGAAAAATGTACTGTACCCTTCTAATAGTATTTACAGGACCCGTTAACATACCCCACACTAGGACCATTTCAGCTTCTACAAAATCAGAACACTTCTAAAATGTTGTAAGCCTGAGTGAGAAACAACACTCTGATTTCAAATTCCCATTTTCCTCGGGTTTTAAAGAGCATAACATAACCTCCCCATATGAGGAGTTAAGAAAATAACCCATGAGGTAAACCCAACGGGTAAGTTGTATTTTAATGAAAACCAAATGGCTCAAAGTTTTAACCTCGCCTGACCCACCTGGGTAAAGTATAGTCCCCTTCAGATTCAAACAGAAGACAGTGGCTTTATGAGGAACAAGAAGATGAAGAAAAAGAACTGATAGTCAGATTCTTACCCTACGCAAGGAGGAGCGGTACTGTTATCATCACACCTTCCACCACCTTTTAATTTATAATACCTCCTATTCAAAGCATTAAAAAATATATTAAACATGGAATATATATACATAACTGTTATTATTAATAAGATAAACTCGAACAAAGAGTCCAAACTAATGTTTACAAAACATAAGTTATGACTTTAACATATCCTCCAGGGTCAATCATAGCACGTGGTCAGATTCTTTTGAAATACTAACACTTAAAAGGCTTAAAACATGGAAGTGTGAATCATCTCAGCACCTTAACTATGCCTAGCTCATTTAGCAAATTCAGCAGTGTCAAGCTCCAAACGTAACCAACACATGCAAGTCATTCTTGTAACAATAAAATTATCTAACCTGTGCACCCTTGATCTCCTTCTACGTGCAGTAATGTGATGATGCACCTCTGATTTACCAGGATCAAGAGCAGGCTGTGAAATTTCGAGACCTTCTTCTTTAATAATGGATAGATACCTGTAAAGATATGTTATTACAACAAAATTCTGATTAAAGTTTCATTAGTAAACGAGTACTATTACTAAGTGACATTAATTTGCCATTCTTGCATTTCCCACAAATTACCATCCAGAGATTGACAGAAGACTAAATGGAAATGTCAACAGGACCTATCACGTAATCTGTAGCATCAGAAAATGTCACAGCACACAATATTCTTGCCTTGACCTTTGTTTAGAAACAGGAGCATAATATTTTGGAGAATCCACTGGAATAAAGGATTTCACTGTCGTAAAATATATACTGAGAGAAATTATTCCTCAGATTGTAATCAATTCATTTGTCCATCATGGGTGTGTCATTATTCACGTCATGTCTTAGGATTCATACTTTCACAGTCTGTTCTCAGTTCTCACTAACTTTCTCCTCGACAAGTTCAATCATTGTTCTAACGGAGAACTTATTTCTGAGAATCAATGAGGCTTGGACTTATGTAATTGATCCTAGTAATAACTAGACACACTTGCAAGAATACAGATATTGCACAAGAATACTATAACCTAAGCACCTCAATAACCAGTTATAAATCCAGCTTGATTACACAGATATCGAGTGCAAGGACATATACCTTCCTGGATGAAAATTTTCGATGCCAAGGTCCTCATCCCACAGAAAAATATACTCGTATTCAGCAACGATATCAGGATGTAGAAAACGTTTGGCGAACCACCTATGCCATAGAATAAGGTCTTATAACCGTCAATAAGCTGTATACATTCATTACTCATCAGGTGAACTAGATTGTATGGGACACAATACGAAAAGAAAAGATGCCAAAATCATACCTATAATATAATACAGTCCTATTGACTACTTCATACCACATACTATCAAGAAATAAAAACCTAACTGCAGCCCAAGAACATTTTTAAGGACCTTACCATTTTGTTTGGTTTGTGGCAGAGACATGAATGACTCTCCCATACCACTCAAAGTCGCTCCATTCATCCACAACACCATCATAGTGAAAAAGCATCACTGCAAAATCATTTCCCACAAACTGCAACCAGATGAAGCCACCAAACTTTGGTTCATGTATAGAAATGATAAGAAGTGAATCTAGAGAAAAATTATGTTACAGATAAAGTTTCGATGTAGTAACCGAAATATAATGATAAACATTACCTTCCCAACAATATGGTTTGCCAACTCTTTTTGCTTAATCCCAACTGCAATTGCCAACAAATTCTTTGCGTGGTTTGAGTTCTCCTGATTCACGTGTGTAGTAATAAGAGAAGTACAAGAAGTTGAATAGAATCACACAACTCACAAGAAGAATTATATCTTTTGAGAGCAAATAGTAGATTGCATAAAGTTTTCGTGTTATAAGAACGGTTTAATGTTAACTCCAGAAAACCTTCAATTGTCAAACTCACAAAAGATGTTACAGTTCAGTTACATACATTTTCTGAAACAGGGCCCCACAAAGGCCGCATTTCCAAGTTTGAAGTTGATGAAACTATTCCTTTTGGTAAAGCCTCACCACCAAAAGGCCTGCACTTCACCTAAGAGAAAAACAAAGCTATGTCAGAAGAAAGTTATAAACATCATTCAAGATAAGCACCACTATGACAGTAGATGGGACAAACTTCGCATTTGTTGAGCTGTGTATTCTCCTTGGTATCATTGACTTTTATGTCCACACTCGATCCTACCTACAAAAGTAGTTTTAAGAATCATGTATGACAAGTAAATACATACATTAAAATACTTCAAGCGCTATAGGATAAGGGATGCATGGGAAGGATTTAGGGCCTTTCAAAAGTTAGAAAGCTGGGTTCAGTTTTACAATCCCAAACTAATTCAAGATATGACCAAATTTAAAAGCGCAAATTTTTCCCTTCTTGGTGAATCTCATACCTATATCCATGCATGAAGATGTACTTAGCATTTATCAGATATGGATTCCACTAAAAAAATGTAAATTTTTTCACAAATTTACCTTGCAATCATCATATTCTGTATTTTTATGTGCTCCACGCACTCCAAATCCAGGTAATATCTGCATCAAAGAGTAAATGATGTTTATTTTTGATATTAAATGTAAAAGTTTGGGATGAACCCACATCATGCTATACATTCAGCAGATTTTCTACCGTTTACAACTGGAAACAAAAAGCAAATCTACAAATACATTTGCATTAATTTTACCCTGAAGGAATCTTTTCCCAACCATGCACTCCCAATGAAATAAACACCAAAAATCAAAGAAGCTGTTACAAAGAGACTGCAGAGACACGATCTACTTTTAGGATCCAATATAGCCTGAAAGGGAACATGATCCGAAAATAAGAGGTGATACCAGGAAAAGAACTGTTCTTATATTCCAAAAATTGTATGAGCAGGTACAGGGGAACAGTGCTCCAAAAATAAGAGGTAATACCAGGAAAAGAACTGTTCTTATATTCCAATTAACAGATGAAAACAGGGAAAAATAAATGGTTTTTCTCTTTAGTTGAAATAAAATTGTATGAGCAGATACAGTACACATGGTTTATTACATCTCTTAAATTGATACATAGGGCATAACTAATCAACATCAACTAAAAATTTTGTATCACTTGTAAAGAACCAATAGTTAAGTTGATGAAGGTAGTGCTGAACAATCATGGGTAACACTCCTCTGCCTATGAACTGCTCCATTGGAATGAATCATCATGCCTAGATAACTAAAAGGCCGAAGTTCTATCAACCAAACTACAACTATTTAAGTCACATATATCAAAACTGATAATGATATGAAATTAAATTACATCTGGGATCACTGTTTTTGAGCCATCTTCAATTTCATCTTGTTGTATTGATGAAGCAAAATACAAAGGAATAAAAAGGGAATAATTGATCTCTCGAGTGCAGAATGAGGTCAGGATCATTCAATTTTGCAGAACTGTCGGTGATGATGATCAGTCAAAAGCAGTAACATTCAGTTTATCCATCTAAAACAAGAGAAGATGATACCCCAAATCTGGGGAAATTCATAAATTGGTGTTAACTACACCAGAACCAAGAATACACATACAGAAAATAAAATTTTCTTTAATGATTATGGATAATACTTCAAACTATCTCGTCTACATGGAATACCAAGAAAACTGTCTCGTTGTTGCTTGCCAATACACGGTGTCAAAGCAAACAAATATTCACCAGGCTTGCATAATTACCATATGCCTCCAAATAGGATCAGCATACATTGAACTCAAACAATTCTTCACAAATTCTAGCCTCTATGTTTACTGAAAAAGAAAGCTATAATTCAACTCAAATAGCTACAAGTAAAATTCTACAAAACCAATTAACCTCTCTATAAACAATTATACAAAGCAGCATAACAGAAAAATTACATGTTATATACAGATAAATATATACATTAATACATTACAAAAAGAAAGCGGCGCATACAGAATTTAATGGCTTCATCTTGCAGTGAAAACTCCACAAAATCCAAAACTAAAGTTGATACAGAGAAGATCGAAAAATGGCTTTTCTTTTCTTGTGGGCTTTTAGATGTAATCAGAAGAAAGTCGAATAATCCAAGTGAAAAGGCAAAGAATCAAGAGAATGTCCAAAGAAAGAAGGCAATAAAGTTATTCCCCGCCCCCAGAACACGACGTCGCTTCGCCTTCACTTCATCCACTGTTTCTCTACCAAAATTTTTCAAACCGCACCATTGGTAAGACCTTTCACCAGGCATATATAAATAAATATATATTTGTGTACATTAATTTATTTTAAAAGATACAAATGTGCGTATCTATAGAGCCATACTTTTCTTTGAGAAGTATAGTTTTGGTTTCGTCCTGTTTTTATTCTGTTCATCGTTTGAAAAAAACATCATGGGCCCGAGTTACAAGGTGGGATATTATTGTCGTGCAAGGACGTGTCCGCACGCGCCAGTGTGATAAAACATGCCATTGTTTGGTTCGAATTAAAATTTGATTTTAATTTAAATTAAAAATTTAAATAATCAATATTAACCATATCTTTCATTAGTTTCACAATTTTTCAATCGCACATTTCAAAAATTTCTGTCAAATATACTAAAATATCTAATTTTAATTCCCACCAAATACCCTCTAAATAATTATATTGAGAAAACAATTTTTTATAGATGCACCACATTTTAATTATAATTTTTTTTTATTTGTTCACTTTTACTTTTATATTCTCAACATTTTTCTCGTTGCATTGTTATTCTTAACATTCAATTAATTAACATATTTTGTCTCGAATCACGATTTTCATCCAAATATTCTATTAATATTTTATTTAATGTTTAGATTACTTAAAAATATGAGAGATAAATATGTTTTTTTGGCCTTCATAACGAACATTTTGGATAAAAATAATCTCTATAGATAAGATATGAAAATTTATAGTGAACTGATAATAAATAAAAAAAATTTTTTTAAAGTTAAGAACATAAGTGTAAAAGTAAGAAAAGTTTAAAAACATTCAATGTAATTAAAATGTGGTGTAGCTAACCAAAAAAAAAAAGGAAAAAATGCAGCAATGGTCTCTAACATTTTCATTTTTTGTAGACTTTATCCTAACTTTCATTTTTGTACCAATGAAGGTCCTTAACCTTTCATAAATATGCATCTGAGGTCCATCTGAACGGAAATCGTCCAAAACACTGTTAGTTGATCGGAAAAATTTCTTGAACTATCTGCTACCGCGATGGTTTTATTGAATATTGATACATTTTTGGACGATTTTATTAGATGTTGATTCCTTAATTTTTCCTATCAATTGACGGTGTTTTGGACGATTTTCGTCGAGATGGATATCATTTGTATATTTATGAAAGGTTGGAACTTTCACCGGCACAAAATAAATATTAGGGTAAAGTCTATAAAAAATGAAAAGATTAGGGACCGTTACTGCAATTTTTCCAAAAAAATTTATGCTATAAAACTTATTGCAATCTTTTCAGTATGGGCCCGGCGGCTGATAGTCGTGATTTGATGGGTTAATTACTTTATGAGCCTAATTCACAATTAGTATAATATTGTTTGAATATATTCTGATTTTGTGTGATATAATTCGAATTATTAATATGACAGCTGGAGCTGAGGATAATCATAACTATAAAACTAAACAAATGTTCTATTTGGATAATTGTGTTAATTGCATGTAGATCTTTGTATTTTTAATTTTTCATTAATTAAGACTTATACTAGAAATTTTTAGTATTTTAAGTGAACATAGTGTTTGGCTTATTACGCCCTTGTTTGAGCCCCATTTTTGGAGGAAAAAATGAATTTTGGAATAGTGTATTGATGGAAAATGTGTAATTAAAAAATAAGTAAATTTTTTGGATTTACGTGTAATATTATTTAATTAAATAATGTGTGATTGAAATGATGTCCAAACACTGTTTAAAAATGTATTTTTGTAGAAAAAATGGAGCTCAAACAGGACTACGTCTCAAAGGTTCGTCAGGAGGATATAAAATGAATTACTTCCTATTATTTTTAAAAAACAATAAATACAAAAGTGTGATAAAATATTTTCCTCATTTCGAATCATGCAAACGAAATATTTCGATAGAATCATTTAGGTGATGTATTAATTAATAGAAGGTTGAAGATAAAAATTTTACGAAAATTTAAGGACATTAATGTTACAATTAGCAAATGTTGAGGACCTTGATTGTAATTAAAATATAAGGAAATTAATGGACTGCTATAAGAATATATTTATCCCTTGTATTTTACTATTTATAATAAGATGAGATGGGTTTACTATAAGTTGAAAATAAAGCCTCAATATGACTTGGTTCACTTCAAATACAGAGCCCTTATTTGAGCCCCATTTTTTAAAAAATTCATTTGCAATTACACATTCTCCTACAAAATAATATTACACTTAAATTTAAAACCTTTCTTTAATTTTAATTTCACATTCTCCATCAATCTACTATTCCAAAATACATTCATTCTCTAAAATGGGACTCAAACAAGGGATAAAATTTTCAATTATAACATGAGTGGCCTTGTGAATAAAAAAGCCAAATAAAAGTCTCTCTCTCTCTCTCTCATTAAATTCATTTATTTAAACGCTATAGACCCACAACACTCTATTTGATCAATCATTTCTACATTTGTATTTTCGACGATTGCCATTCATGATATGAAGCGTTACATTGTGTACAAAAATGTATCAACAAGTTTTTTCTCTTCAATTTCATTTCTTTATCCGTTACGGCATAATTTATTGAAATATTTCAAATTTCAATATTTTAGGTACTTGATCCTCATTTAAGGTTAAACAAATAGTTGTGTATACATACTTTTTGAGAATACTAGTGAGGAAAACATGTGTTGCATGTTTGTTGGCAAATATTAAATATAAGTGTATATTATATTCATTGATTATTTTAATGTTTGAGATGATTTTTTTTTTTAAATGAAACAAACCAAGATAATGATTACAATTGAGAGTCTTAATCTTAATGATTATCCTTCAACAAACGGAATTCAAATCTGACTTAAATTCATCGAGATATAACTAAAACAAAAACTACTGAAAAATGAAGCAATGCATAAATGAAGGAATTTGTCCAAAATTGGCCCTTACAAAAAAAGGATAACTTCAAAATTTCTCCAAAAATCAGGAAATTGGATTTCTTAGTTTAAAGAAAGGAGAAAAAAGAAAAAAATTTCTCCAAAAATCGTGCGTGCTTCGTGCTGCATTGAGTGCACTCTCCATGCTGCTCCGTGCATCACGGAGAGAGCACTTTGTGCTGCACAGAGTGAACGGAGTGCACTCTTCGTGCAGCATGGAGGGTGTTAGTGCTCCATGCTGCACGAAGAGTGTCGCGTAAAGCTGCTGATTTTTGTTTATTGGCACATTTTCAATTAAATTTAAATAAAATTTTACAAAAAAAAAAAAAACAAACCTCAAAATTTGGGAAATTGGATTGATTAGCTTAAAGAAAAAAGAAAATGGAAAAAAAATCTCAAAAAATCGTGCGTGCTTCGTGTTGCACGGAGTGCACTTTCCGTGGGGCTCCGTGCAGTATGGAGGTAACACTTCGTGCTGCATAGAGTGAATGGGACGCACTCTCCATGCAGCATAGAGAGTGCCAGTGCTCCGTGTTGCACAAAGAGTGCCGCGTGCACTATTCGTATGTGTACTCTCCGCGCAGCATGGATAAGTGTGCTATTCTAAATCCTACAAAAGGTCATCACACATAAACAAGATTATAAACTCTTTTTTTCTTTTTTAATACTGTCCATCCAATCTACCTAACAAACACATGCACAAAATTCACAAAATTTCCACTATTTTTAAGACCTAAGAAGACACACGTTTTTCTAAAACAAATGAAGTATGCAAGAAAAAAGATATTTTAAATTTTAAAATGAAGTGAAAGAATAGCATAGACCTGGGTATTGGACTACTTAATCCAAAGACAAATCTTTCCCCAAATGAATCTCCCTTTTTGAGTCCATCTAAAACCAACAGAGTCTATCCCTTTCTCCTGATCTCGTCCAACAATCACTATTCAATCTCCAGGATTAGCTTTCGATATCCCTTTCATACGAAGGCAAGTTGAAATTTACAAGCATTTCTTGTTGTTCGCTGAATGATTTCTAAGTAAGAGAAATTAATTTAATTAGCATAATTCTTACAAAATATCTCAGAAGCTAGAATTCACCATCATCTTGAAGCTATCTTTGAGCTAAACTAATATCATGCCCGTTTATACAAACTTAAAACGAAACACAATAATCAAATGAAAATTTAAGAAAAATGATGATTAATTCAAAATCAGAAGAAGATGAATCACACACAGCACACACTTAAAGATTGATAAACAACATTTATACATTATTATGTAAATTTTTGGAGAACCGGAACACTAAACTCTCAACTTACAGACGAGCCTCCAAACAAATTCTTCTCCTTCAAGCTGTCGACAATTTCGTTGATACTTTCTTTAAGAGGCATTCTCGTTTGGAATGATGGATTTGTTGAAGAAGCGTGGTCGGTAGTGTAAGAAAACGGAGAAATGATGTTTCTTTGTCAGATTGACGTGAATTGAGAAAAGGTGAAGGCATGGCTAGGCTGGAAAATCGTGATTTTACTAATTTTTTATGTAAAAAAAAAAAAGAAAAAGAAAAAAAAAAAGAGGGAAATTCATATAGGACGATGTATATTTTTGACACGTGTCCAGTCCATTCATTCTCTCTGTTATATATGTAGGATACGCATCCTAGAGGGCCATTTTTACTATTTGCTCCATTTTTTTTTCTTTTGGAGATTTCATGTCTTGGAATCAAATGTTATCATATTTCTTGTATATCATATATTTATCAAATATAATGGATTGTCATTTTAGGAAGTTAACTCTTAGTAAAGCATTAAAAACTAGTGTGTGGGAGTTGATTAGTCTCTTTGATTAGTACATGCATCTGAATCACCTTTCAAACTTTTGATTCAAATCGTCCTTTGTGAGGATTTGGACTATATAACTATGCATTATGTCTACGATTTCCAACTTTTTATTATTTCGAGTTCAAAATGTATTTTTTGGAATTAAAAATACAATAGTTTCTATAAATCTAACAGTATGAAATTGCACTTCTTCAAAATAATTATACAATATTCTTTAAGACTATTGATTCTTACCAATAGACAATTCTTCAAGAACAACATTCGAATTATTGATTCATCATGCTCATAGGGACAATTTCCAGGACAACAATGAATTATTATTTTTAAA